GGAGAGGAGGGGCTTCGGGGGTCCTGAGGAGGGGGGAGCCGGGGTTAACCGAGGACTGGGTCGCGGCGGGAGGGGCGGACCCTAGAGTCGGCAGCTTCTCCTTCTCCCGAAAGCGAGCCGCTCGCGTGCCTCGCCCGGGCGAAGCGGAGGCGGGAGGGCAAGGCCAAGGGCCCCGCGCGGCCCGCTGCCCGGGTGTGTCGGACACGCCCCTTCGCCTCCGAGCCCCCCGGGCGGAGGAGAGGTGAGACGCCCCCCCGGGCCGTGCCTCAGCTTTGGCGGCCGCCCGGACCGGGCTGGGCTCCTCCGGGCGGGCGGGGACGGATGCGGGCGCTGTCCTAAAGTCGGATGACGAGCGGGCAGAGCGAACACCGGGGCGGGGGCAGGGATGGGCGGCCGAGGCCAGCTAGAGCCCTCGGACTGCGGGGTGCCTGAAGGGCGGAGGACGCGTGGGGGTGCTCCTGCTCGTGGAGGTCAGGGAGGGCTCCAGCGAGTGTCCCAGACTGGAGGAGACCGGAAGAAGAACCGTGAGTCCCCGGGGACACGAGATGGCAGCAGTAGGCCGTTAGGGGTTTGGACTTTAAAAACGGCAGTTGGCCAGGCGCGGTGTGATCTCAGCACTTTGGGAGGCTGAGGCGGGAGGAGGGCATGAGCCCAGGCGCTGGAGACCAGCCTGGGCAACACAGCAAGACCTCTCCTCTCTACAAAAAAATCAAAAACTTACCTGGGCATGGTGGTGCGCACCTGTTGTCCCGGCTACTCTGGATGATGAGGTGGGAGGATCGCCAGAGCCCCGGAGGGGGAGGCTGCAGTGAGCAGTGATTGCACCACTCCAGCCTGGGCCGCAGAGTGAAACCTTGCCTCAAATATAAAATAAAAGCAGCAGTGAGGCTAGGTCTGGGGCTCATGCCTGTCATCCCTTGGGAGGCTGAGGCAGGAGCATCATGTGAGGCCAGGGGTCCAAGACCGACTTGGACCGCATAGAGCGACCTCTGTCTCTACAAAGTATAGCTGGGCAAGAGGACTGCTCAAGCCTAGGAGTTCATTTACAGTGAGTTCTGATTGTTTCACTGCACGCCAGCCTGGGCGACAGAGCAGGACCTTGTCTCTAAAAGAAATTTAAAAATAAAAGTAGCAGTGGAAGCCCATGGAAGGTGTTGATGAACTTTCCAGGTACTTTTGGGGCCAGCCACATGCCTCTCTAATGCTCAGAGTTCTCCTCTGTAGAATGAGGGTGACAATTTCATTTCTTTTCTTTTTTTGTTTCTTGAGTTAGAGTCCTACTCTGTTGCCCAGGTTGGGGTGCAGTGGCACGCTCACGGCCACCGCAGCCTTGACCTGCTAGGCTCAGGCGATCCTTCTGCCTCAGCCTTCCAAGTAGATGGAACTACAGGTGAGCGCCACCACATCCGGTCAATTCTCTGGCTTATTGTAGAGATGAGGTCTCCCCAAGTTGCCCAGTCTGGTCTGGAACCCCTGGGCTCAGACAGTCCTCTCACATGGTCCTCCCAAAGTGTGGGATTATAGGCGTGAGCCACCGTGTTTGGCTGAGGTGACAGTTTCTATCTCACAAGGCACATTCCACTTCCACCAGCTGTCCTCCCCCACCACAGGGCCCGCCATCCCTCCCCCAGGATGCCGGAGGGCCCCGAACTGCACCTGGCCAGCCTCTTTGTGAATGAGGCCTGCAGGGGGCTGGTGTTTGGGGGGCGCGTGGAGAAGTCCTCCGTCAGCCGCAACCCTGAGGTGCCTTTCGAGAGCAGCGCCTACCACATCTCAGCCTGCGCCCGCGGGAAGGAGCTGCGCCTGGCCCTGAGCCCCCTGCCCGGGGCCCGGCCCCCACAGGAGCCACTGACCATCGTCTTCCGCTTCGGCATGTCCGGCTGCTTCCAGCTGGTGCCTGGGGATGCGCTGCCCCGCCATGCCCATCTGCGCTTTTACACGGCTCCACCTGGTCCCCAGCTGGCCCTGTGCTTCGTGGACATCCGCCGCTTCGGCCGCTGGGACCTCGGGGGCCGGTGGCAGCCGGGCCGCGGGCCATGTGTCTTGCTGGAGTACGAGCAGTTCAGGTAGGGCTGGCTCCAGGCATGGTGGACACAGGCCTGGGCTTCGGGCCTGGCTCTGTGAGTGCCTTATGGCCCACAAGGGATGAGCGCGGCCCTCTCTGGGCCTTGGTCCCCTCATCTGTAGACCAAGACAGTGTCCCTGCCCTGGACCCAAACCGATGTGGCAGGAGAGGGGTCATAGGGCCCGTCAGTGGCAGAGCTGGGCTCAGCTGAGCTCCACACTGCTTCTTGGTGTTCCCAGGAAGCTGAGAAGTGAGGCTGAGCAAGAACTGTTCAGAGCTGGGAGGGCAGCCTAATGATAGCTTCTGAGTCGGGTTTTGGGGCCTCCCGCAGTTGCCTGCCCACTGGTCTGTGTCCTGTGGTCACCTGGGATGTGATGCAGGCAGCTAAGATAGCACATGTTGGCCACTTCCTCTCTGAAGAGGAGCTGTATCTGAGTCTGCTTAGTGCCAGGCCTCATTCAGGCGTGGGGGCACTGCAGGAACACAGTGAATGGTCCCTGCTCCCACAGCAGGAATTCAGTGAGGCAAGGACCCAGGAAGCAAGACTTCAGCGTGTGCAGAGGTAAGCCCAGCAGGTGAAGGAGGCAGAGGAGTTTTGGCTGAGGGTAGGGGTCAGTAGAAATGGCCGCAGGGAGGTGAGTCTTTGCTGGGGCTTGACTGTTGAGTAGGAGCCATGCCCAGCCATAGGGAAAGAATTCTGGCCACCAGGAATCTCAGGCATGCAGTGGACTCAGTGAGCTCTCCCTTCCTGGGGACATGGTGCCTTCAGTGGGTCTTGGGGAGACTTGCCTGTCGTGGGCTAGGCCAGGGCATTTCTGGTGCCAAAGAGAGCAGCTGACTCCTGGCTTTCCCGGCATGAACCCCAAGGGCACCCCTGGGGAGACATCTGCTGTGGTTCTAGAGTTCCCCCACCTCCCTCTCCCGGGAGTCAGGTTCCCCTCGCCAGCTGACTCTGGAGTTTCTCTCCTAATGAGCACTTAGGCTGTTTCCCTGGCCCTCCAGCTCCAGGACCAGCACCACCCAGGCTGCCTCTACCCCAGAACTCTGTCTCTGGCCCCCTACCCACTCTCCTGATACCCACCACTGAGTCAGTCTTGCTGTGAATCTTGGAAGTAGGGTGGGGCCGCTGGGGCCCTCACAGGCCAGGACTTGCCCCTGCACACCTGCTACACAGAACCAGACAAACTTCAGGGTCTTGAGAAGAGCGGAACCACCAATGTCAAGTCCACATATGGCCTCTAACCCCCCACAGAACCCTCAATTTCAGACTGTGGCCACACCTGCAGTTCTGTGATCACTTTGTTCTGACTTGTCCTGAGGAGTCTAAGGGACTTTGGCGGTAAACACATAACCTTGTGTACAGACTCACGTGTTCCCTTGAACACGTTGCTTTTGATGCCTTTCACCTTACACAATGATTCAAATCCTAGGTTATTCCTATTTAACGGACAAGAAAACGGGCAGGGAGAAAGGGAGCTGGGACCCCAGGTTCCTTCCCCTTGTGCCCAGAGACAGGCTCTCCCATCCCCTTCCCAACCCCGTGGAAGGCAGGGATGGGTCTTCTGCACCCAGGCTGTGTCCCTCCAGGGGGAACGTGCTACGAAACCTGGCAGACAAGGCTTTTGACCGGCCCATCTGCGAGGCCCTCCTGGACCAGAGGTTCTTTAACGGCATTGGCAACTACCTGCGGGCTGAGATCCTGTTCCGGTCAGCAGGCGGCCGTGGGCACGAGGGTTGAGGGCGATGGGTGTGCCCATGTTCCCACTGCTTAGTATGGCTCCCCACTCCAGGCTGAAGATCCCACCCTTCGAGAAGGCCCGCACAGTTCTGGAGGCCCTGCAGCAGAGCAGGCCGGTGAGGGCACAGGGGGCGACGCATGTGCAGGTGTGGGAGTGTCGACATGCTGGCAAGCGGACGGGTTGAGTCAGCGTCTCCGGCGTAGCTCAACAATGGGGCCCGGGTGTGGGGGAGAAGCTGCCCTCCTGTGGCCCTGCCCCATGCTGACCACCAGGTTCTGCCCTGTGCCTTCCTCAGAGCTTGGAGCTGACCCTGAGCCAGAAGATCAGGGCCAAGCTGCAGAACCCAGACCTGCTGGAGCTGTGCCACTTAGTGCCCAAGGAAGTGGTCCAGCTGGGTGAGGCCTGGGCGGGAAGGCAGCAACGACCCCTGCTTTGGCCTGCTAGGTGACCTGGGCGGTTGTCCCCCTCTGGGCCCGGCTTCCCAACAGGAGAGTGGAAGTACGCTGGCCCAGCCACTGCTGGACAGATGAGGCCTCCTCAAGGATCCGGTGTCCATTCCTCCAGGCTGCCCACCAGACAGGCAGGCAGCTGGAGGAGGGAGAGCCTGGTCCTGACTCAGTCCATCAGCTGGTGCTGCTGAGGTCTGGGCCAGGCCTAGCTAGGCCCTCCCCCTCCAACCAAGTCCACCCTCCCATCTCCGCCTGTACCTCTGTCCCACAGGGGGCAAAGGCTATGGGCTGGAGAGCGGGAAGGAGGACTTCGCTGCCTTCCGCGCCTGGCTGAGATGCTATGGCCGGTCGGACATGAGCTCCCTGCAGGACCGGCATGGCCGTACCATCTGGTTCCAGGTTCGGACCCGCTGCTCACACCGGCATACAAAGATCCCTAGAAGCTGGTGGGGTAGAGATGCCCAGGGCCTGTCTAGGCCTGCCCCTCCCTGGAGCCCCGAGGTCCCAGCGAGCGGTGCTGCCTGTGGGCAGGGCAGCTTCGTCAGTGTTGACTCTGCCGTGGGGGGAGGTCAGGGAGGCTACACTGACCTGGAGGGATGTGTGTGAGGCCTGTGCCCCAGTCAGGTTGGTTCCTGAATTGTCCCCATCCCATTGTAGGGGGATCCTGGACCCTTGGCACCCAAAGGTAAGCTGCTCCCAATGTAATAGGCTAAGAGGAGGGACTTCCTGCCCACAGGGCTCTGGCACCCTCCTCCACCCTCACCCCCTGTAGCCATGGGAGTCATACCAAGCAGTGGAAGCTTGGAGAAAGGGGCTGAGGCTACAGGAGCCTCCAACCCCAGCACCATGTCCTGCAGGGGCCAAGTCCCGCAGAAAGAAGTCCAAGGCCACACAGCCAAATCCTGAGGACAGAGGGGAGGTACGGCTGTGGCTCTTGCCTCCTCCTCTGCATGCGCACCCAGCTGATCCCCCAAGGCCAGGCCTTTGGGCAGCTGTCTTCCTCTGAGGGGCCGCAGTAGTGGCTCCTAACCAACTGCTGAGCCCTCAGGGACCTGTGTCTCCTCTATCCAGGCCCCTCCACCTCTAAGCGAGGCCCCTGCCAGAACACGAAGGGCACAGAGAGCCCGGCCTAAGAAAACAGCAACCCAGCAGCCCAAGGGGACCAGTCTCCAACAGGACCCAGAACCTCCCACAGTCCCTAAGAAGGAGAGGAGGAAAGGGCACCAGGCAACACCAGGTGGGCTTTCCTCAGTGCCCTCCTCTGGGGAGGGAAGGGGCCCAACTCTTCAGAGGGCAGGATGGGGGCACAGGAGTGCAGGAGAGAATGGGGAGGAGAACTCAGGTGGCCAAGGTTGAAGGAAACTGGGGGTCTGACGAACCGTTCCCCATTCTTCCCCCAGGCCACCGCAGACCCCGGAAGATTAAGGTCAACACCCCAGCCTTGGAACCAGAGGGGACCTCAGCCTCATAATAGGAGGGTCTCCTTGCTGGCGCCCACCGTTCCCTGCTTTCTGGCCCTGAACCTGGGCCTGTCTGAAGTCCTGGAGGCGGGCAGTGTCTGCAGCAGGCTGGAAGCCCAGGGCCCAGATGCACAAGTGATGTTTTTAATTGTACCCCACCTTCCACATTTTTTAAACCCATGTGAGAAATGCTATATTTTTAATAAATGGGTAGATTGGCACATCTTGGCACTTCTTGGGCAGGCTGCTGGTGCCTGACTTTGAGAACAGGAGGCTCCCTCTTCACAACAAGGCAAGCTGTGCCCCCCCCATCCCCAAGCTGAGGACAGTGTGTCCCTGCAGCACAGCCCCTCAGGGTGGTGGTGGGGTCAGGCTCCAGGGACCCTGGCTGCTCTCTCATCCTGGCTTCTCCCCTGGCCCAGGGAAGAAGCCTCTCACCTCATGGTCTTTTCGTTAGCTTTTGGTCACCTGAGAGCTCCAATCTCTCTCATGGGGACTACAACCCAGACCCTCGCCGACAGGTACCTTCGATCTCGCCCTTGCCCCCAAATACCAGAAAAGAGCACGTCCCCCACTCCCAAGCCTGAGTATGGGCCCCAAGGGGAGGGGGCAGGGGCTACCAGCAGGTTCCTGGTCCAAGATTTATTACACAAGCAATGGCTGATCCTCGCTTCAGGCTGGGAGGTGGAAATGGGGAGTCCCCAAAGCCTTCCACAGACAGCCCTCCCCCTCAGTGTGGCGGAGGCTGAAGCACGAGCAGCAGAGACCGCACTTGGAAGGGCGAGAAGGTGAGCTTCAGGCGGTTGTCCCGAAGGGGCACGTGGCCAGCGGGGTCTCGCCGCTCTAGGAGGTCGCAGCTGGAGAACAGGAGGGGCAGTGAGGGCCTGCGGGGGCGGGACTCCTGCCACCACCTCCACCGGCTCCCACTCACAGCGTGGCCTCCTGAAGCGGCAGCGACGTGTGCAGCCAGCAGTCCGTGTGGCTGCCGTGGGCCTCGTACAGCCTCAGGACCAGCGTGCGGCTCTGGGGACTGGACTCCGCCTGTGGGGAAAGGGGCG